TAATTTCCCTGCTACTGACGTTAGACTTACTGGTCTACAATTGTTGGTATCACCTCTAGAGCCCTTTTAAAATATTGGCTTTACATTAGCTATCTTCCAGTCATTAGATACGGAAGTTGATTTAAAGGATAGGTTACAAACGACAGTTAATAGTTCCACAATTTCACATTTCTAATGCAGAGGCACAGTGATCAGTATGAGCCTTGTCCACCATGTACAGGGACTGGCACTGGATAAGCCACTGTTCACGGTGAACAGGGCTGGTCATGGAAAGGGACTATTCAGGCCATTCCTGGCTGCTGCAAACAGGGGATGGTGCCGGAGCAGCCCTGGCTGCCACAAAGAGGCTGCTTGGTGGCAACAGTCCCTATTCACAGGAAGCACAGGTCCCCATTGGCAAGGCTCGACGATAGTGGCAAAAACCACTCGCCAGCCCTGCACTGCACATGCGCGAGACCTGCATTGCGCATGCGCAAACCACCAGTGAACGGGGTGACCGGCTGAAATCTACTTGCAGGCAAGTAGATAAGCGGATTTGTTGAATCATGCTCATTGAGACCCCTGTGGGCAGGGGCTGCTTCCCAGCAGCATCGCCTACTGCCCCCAACCCACTTGTGCCTCTGATAGAGACAGCGGGGGTGGAGGGGGGGAGGAGAGAAGGGAGTAGACAGCACCCCAGAGATGGTGCTGGGGTGGAACCAGCTTTTAAGCAGGATCTCCCCAGCACCGGCTCCTGTCCCCTCACACCCTACTGCCTCTCACAGTGGTATGTGCCTCTCAAGGGAGAGGAGCCACAGAGAGCGCACAGACAGCAGGGACTGCCTAAGTCCCCGCTCACCCTGTGCTCCCTGTGGCACTTCTGCTTTTGAAATGTACAAGCGCCAGCACTGTAAACCCGGAGGGGACTCAAAACAGTCCCCTCTCGTGCTATTTCCCCACTATGCCCCTCAGGACCAGCTCCTGCTCCTCCCCCCTTTTGCTGCCTCTCTGACAGAGGCAGCAATAAACTATCCAATAAGCATTTGCTTATTGGATAGCCAACTAATCACTTACATCCCCAGTTCATAGTAGTTGGTATTGCTAGAAAGGAGCAGTTGTAACCAAGAGGGATGTCACCTATGGATGATTAGACATTCCTTCTAAAACATAGGAGAAACAAATAGCTTCTGCTTACAACAGGAAGTGTGTTCAGCAACTATAAATATTTTTAACAAAGTTTTTCAAGAATGATTGTTAACTATCATGTTCTGAGCGCTGAATCTGTCACACATTGTTTTAAGCACGTGACCTGAGGGCAGTTCCTTAGAACATGTAATGAGCAATGACTATTTCTACATTTTTCAGAGAGGCAGCCGTATTGGTCTGAATCTGCAAAAGCGACGAGGAGTCCTATGGTACCTTATAGACATCTGACGAAGTGGGTCTTTGCCTATGAAAGCTTATGCTCCAATAAATCTGTTCGTCTATAAGATGCCTGTTAGTCACAGGACTCGTCGTCGCTATTTCTACATGATTATTTCTATTTTAATTTGGTATATCTATATTTATCTATTCTAAATCCCAGCCTCAGGAATGCTGCCAAATTCCATGTTTAGCAGATTTTGAATTTAAATGAAACATTTTGTGATTGTAAATGTGTGATTGAATGCAGTAGTGCATTCAAACACCCTGTTTGGGAACGTAAACAAAATTCCTCTATAATGAGTAATTTGCAAACTAAACACCACTTCCAAACACAGATTTTAGTATTTTGATCTCATCCCAAACTATATAGATCCAGATACTTCTGTGCAAGAGGACAGCTTTGTGTTCTTACCACAAGCTCACATAAAGTCAGCCTGCCACCTAAGGATCTTCCTACCCTTAGCTAAACAGCTATTGTCACATTTCCTATGCTGCCATCCCATCTCTACAGTCAGTAGTAGTAGTAGTATAGCCAAAATATCAATACACTACATCCTCGGCATAGCTCTGATCACCCCCATTTTCTGAAATTCTGCAGTAGATGTCTGATTTTCTATCCCTACATCCATCTTGTATTTCCATCTGTTCTTGCTGTCGAACAGGTATAATGGAACCTAGGAAATTCTGATGCCTGGCACACTTCAAATTACTAGATGGAATGCTCGCTCACTCTCCCCTCTATTCAGGACTTGCACAATTTAAGATGCATACATTCAATAAATATCTTATTAACCAACATTCAATTAACTGACAGTCAACAAGCCCTTCAATAGCAAAACAATACTGGCATTACACACATTTATCCCAAGTCCCCTCCTTTTTCAAAATATAGCATCTATATACAGTTATAAACAGTTCAACCAACAGTTCTGCATGTTATCAGAGGTAGGCCAAATAACCATATAGTTACTAACTAATGGCTAATTCATCTATGCTGTAATACATATGGAAAACTGCAATCTAGTAAGAGCTAGGATACTGAGAGGCTGCAATTATTGCTGATTGGCTACAATTGCTTACATCCTCTTAGTGTTATCCTCTCTCCCTTAATCTGGGGTTGGTTGGTTTGAATTGTAAACTCTTCAGAAGCATTTACTCACTCTATTGTACTATAGTTGAGGAGTCTGTATCTGATGAGCCTGTATAGCAGGGGTGGGCAATAATTTTTTGCAGGGGGGGAGGGGGCACTTCAAAAATTTCTGTAGTGGCCCCAGGCCACACCAGAAGGGACAGAACCGAGATACTTCTGGGTTCCCCATCCCCAGACCATGACTGGTCTGTGGGTGGGGGAGTGCCTTTGCCCAGCCACCCTTCCTTTCCACTAGGTGCCCATGCTCCTGGCTGAGAGGATACTTCCCATACTCCCCTGCCCCCAGGCTAATCAGTGCCTGGGGGCAGAGGAGCACACAAAGTCTTCACACACTCCTCCTGCCCCCAGGCCCTGTTTGGCCTGGGAGCAGGGAAGCACATGAAGCCTCCTTCAGCCCTGCCAGGAGCGCATGCTACTTCCAAGCGCCACGTGCTCCTGGCAGGGTGGAGGAAACATCACGCGCTCCCCCCACCCCGAACTGGCCTCAGGGTAGGGGAGCAGTAGGGCCTCCATGGCCTTTTGCCCATCCCTGCTATATAAGTAACTGAAAAATAAAATAGGCTTGGCAGAATGCAATTTTCCTTTACAATTTTGATGGATAATATCAGTGTTTAAGTATTTTTTCAATTTTATCAATGTATATATTAATAATTTCAGGAATTTATTGGAATGTCAGACAATTCAATGACTCAAACACTGTAGAGTTGACCTTACCTCAGATTTATATCAGTATAACTGTTTCTCAGGGCTGTGAAAAACCCACACCCCTGAGCAACATAGTTGTACCAATCGAACCATAGTCAGAACTATGCTGGTGGTAGTGCTTCTCTAATCAACTGTGGCATGGATTAAATACTCCAACAGGAGAAGCTCTGGGATCCGCATAGGATCAGCTTCACTTAAGCACTACAGCAGTACAGCTATAGTGAATGCGGCATTTTAAGTGTGGAACTGCCCTGAGTTTCAAAAAAATTTAATTAACACCTTTAAAACACAAGTTACCACATGTGAAAATACACCAAGTATTAAATTTAATGCAATTGTTAATTAGCACTTTCCTGATTTTTTCCATCTGCAGATATTGATTTGGGCCAGAAATATTTTTAATTGGGTCGCATGGGCACAATCAAACATTTACTAGCCTAAAGATTAACAATACAATGGCCAATCTCATGTCCTTGATGATAATGTAGTATCTTTTAATGTACCCCTATTAGCTATACCTACACTGCAATGCTATTTGGGGATACCAGAGGATCCAGCAATAGCTAGCCCACAGCTTCACAGCAAGCCCGTTATTTTGGGCTCGCTATTCCAACGTCCCTGCAAACCTCATTCTGCAAGGAATAAGGGATGTTTCGGAATAGCGCTTTATTTCAAGAGCTGATACTGTGTAAACACCACCAAGGCTGTGTCTAGACTGCAGAGGTTTTTTTTGAAAAAAAGTAGCTTTTTTTTGAAAAAACTTCACCTGCGTCTAGACTACAGCTGTGTTTTCTAAATTAAATCGAAAGAACGTGGCTTTTCTTTCGACAGCAGTACTCCTCATTTCACGAGGAAGAACGCCTTTTTTTGAAAGTGCTCTTTTGAAAAAAGGCGTTCTTGAATGCAAACAGGGCTTTTTCGAAAGAGAGCATTCAGACTGCCTGAGTGCTCTCTTTCGAAAAGGTGGTTTGCTTTTTCGAAAGTACTGCTTGCAGTCGAGACACTTTCGAAAAAGCCTCTTTCGAGAGAGGCTTGCAGTCTGGACATAGCCCCTGGGTGCTCTCTTTCAAAAAAAGCGGCTTGCTTTTTCGAAAGAAGAGGTTGCAGTCTAGACGCTCTTTCGAAAGAGGCTTGTGGTCTAGACATACCCCAAAGGCGGAAATGAGCTATTTCGAAATAGCATCGAGGTTAGATACACAATCTGCGCATCTGTTAGGAGTTGTTAGGGTGCCGTGTAGACGCACCATTGGGCCCAACCCGCAACCCCAGAACCTCGCCCCCCGCACCGAGTGGGGCAGCACAGCTCTCCCGTTCACCCCGCGTCCAGCTCAGAGAGGGGCTGGGGGCGCTGGGTGGGTGGGTGGAGGGGGGGGGAA